AAAAACCTAGATTGGATACTGTTGTCTATAATGCAGAAAAGGGAGTGGAGGGAGCGAAGAAAAAAAAAAGTTACAAGTCGGGCTGCCAACCTCAAGGTGAGCAGTTCGAAACTATCAGCGGTTCTATAGGAGAAAGATGAGGCATTCTACTCCCATAAAGATTTACAGCCTTGGAATCCCTGTGCAAGGAAGGTCACTATGGATTGGAACCAACTCTAAGTTACTTTATAACAACATGTGTTTGTTTTTAATGTCCTCTTTCAGCTTATTGCCTTCAAGGCCGCCTGATAAATTTCAAGATGTCACTGATGGTTGTTATGCTGTACCTCAGGATTTAATTTAATTTTGGCCTGTTTTGTTTTTAAACCCTCTTTCCCTCTCCACACCCCTTGTACTGGCCTTTTCCGAATTAAAAAAATAAAAAACGGTTCAGGGCCGGCTCTTGGGCTGAGAGTATCTATGTGCATGTGTGGCAGAAGAACCCACCAGTGGTGGGGTTGGGAGTGCCCTCTCACTCAGGCATCCCCTCTATTCACCAGATTGGAGTGCACAAACATTGGGGAGCCAATGAACAGATACCAAAAAAAAAAATCAGAAGCAAAACCAACGAAGTGTATTGTCCACCTTTGCTCCAAGGTTCCCGTGGCATTATTCCATCGTGGTTCTGTTCCTACACTTGGTCTTGCCATTTGGTCTCACCCAAGTTGTAGGCTCTGGGCCACCGAGCCCACCAGATTCAAAAGTACGCAATTTCTTACTTCCACTACAAGTTCCACTAGCTAAGAGCCTTTAGACTTTTAAAATATTCCTACCTATGTGGTTCAGAGTTTTGGAGCCCTTCCCTAAACCTGCTTCACCTGGTATTCTGTCAATCCTATCCATTCGTATATCCTCTGAAGCACTTAACACAATGCCTAGCTTATCTAATGTTCTATGCTTCCATATATTCTATTCTTTGAATCCAAATCCAAATCTCTAAGTGCCACATTGCCACAGATGCCTTTCATCTAGTGAGAAACTTTCTAGTGATGACACCATTGAATTCTTGTTTTTTTCCTTTATTCCTATCTACAGGCTTGGGAACAATGGGCCGAGGCATTGTCATTTCTCTTGCAAGAGCCAAGGTTCCTGTAATTGCTGTGGAAACAGACAAGAAGCAGCTAGAAGTTGCAACCAAGATAATAACCTCCTTCTTAGAAAAGGAAGCATCTAAATTACAACAGGATGGCCAACTTTGGTCAGCACCAAAACCCAGGCTAACTATGTCTATGAAGGAGCTTGGTGATGTAGATTTAGTCATTGAAGCAGTATTTGAGGAAATGAACCTGAAGAAGCAGGTCTTTACTGAACTGTCAACCGTATGTAAGCCAGAAGCTTTTCTGTGTACCAATACTTCAGGCCTGGACATCGATGAGATTGCTTCTTCCACTGATCGTCCTGACATGGTCATTGGCACCCACTTCTTTGCACCAGCTCACATCATGAAGTTGTTAGAGGTTATTCCCAGCAAGTACTCCTCCCCTACTACCATTGGCACTGTTATGAGCTTATCAAAAAGGATTAAGAAAATTGGAGTAGTTGTAGGGAACTGCTTTGCATTTGTTGGGAATCGAATGTTGGCTCCTTATTACAATCAAGCGTATTTCTTATTAGAAGAAGGCAGTAAGCCAGAGGAAATAGATCAGGTGCTGGAAGAGTTTGGTTTTAAGATGGGTCCCTTTAGAACATCCGATCTTTCTGGGTTGGATGTGGGTTGGAGATCTCGGAAATGGCAAGGTCTTACTGGACCTAAGTTGCCTCCAGGAACACCTGCCCGAAAACGAGGCAACAAAAGATATTGCCCAATTCCTGATATGCTTTGTGAACTAGGACGAACTGGCCAAAAATCAGGTAAGGGTTGGTATCAATATGACAAGCCATTGGGTAGGATTTCTAAACCTGATCCCTGGCTTTCCAAATTTCTCTCAGAGTACAGAGAAACCCATTGTATTGAACCACATACCATCAGTCAGGATGAGATCCTTGAGCGTTGTTTATATTCACTCATCAATGAAGCATTCCGTATCTTGGAAGAGGGAATGGCTGCTAGTCCAGAGCACATTGACACTATCTATTTACATGGATATAAATGGCCAAGACACAAGGGAGGGCCCATGTTCTATGCTTCTACAGTTGGGTTGCCCACAGTGCTGGAAAAGTTGCAGAAATATTACAAGCAGAATCCTGATGTTCCCCAGCTGGAGCCCAGTAACTATCTGAAAAAACTGGTTTCCTGGGGAAATCCTCCTCTGAAAGAATGGCAAAGCTTGGCAGGACCCCCTAACAGTAGATTGTGATTCAGCCTTCCAGGTTATGCCTCACATGCTGGCATCAGATAATGCTCATTGAATTTCAAGACCAGCAGATGTGCAAAACCTGGTCTTTACTCTTCTTCTTATGGAGACATAATAGGAAATATTAAGTTGTTGGCTTAGTGTATGTAAGAATAGATCTTAGAGAACATCTCAACTTCTAGGATTTTTTTGCCTTGGTGATGGAATAATGATGCTAATTTCCTTATCACAACAAGCCTTTGTAATACTGGAAATGGAAATAGTTCATTCTTGAAAACTCTGAAACACATTTGCACACACATTTTTTATAGTTGTTATATAGCAGTAAGAATTCTTTTAAAAAATTTTTTTCCTGTATGCTTAAAAATTAAGGGACTAGGCAACTAAAAAATGGGAACACGAATATTCATAGCAGAATGATGCATTATATGAAAAAGTGGAAACAGCCTACATGTCCATCAACTGTTGAATGCATCAACAGGGTGTGGTACAACCATACAATGGAATGGTTCAGTCAACAAAAGGAATGAAGTACTAATACATGCTACAGTATGGATGAATCTTGAAAACATTACACTAAAAGAAACTGGTCACATTGTTTGATCCCATTTATATGAAAGTGGAGATCAATGGCTAAAAGGTATGGAGCTCCTTTTGGAGTGATGAAAATGCTCTAAATTCACTGTGGTAATGGTTGCACACCTCTAGAAATCATTGAGCTATATTTTAAATGGGTGAATTGTAGGGTATGTGAGTTATGTCTCAATAAAGCTCTTATTGAAGTTGTCATTCAGTGTGATGCAAATGAACTGTTTTCATGGTATTTTCACTTATGAACTAAAATTACCAGAAGTTAGATAGAGAAATATTGAATGAATATAGCATAAGATAAAACTTCCATTATTAAAAAAAAACCCTAGAGTGTTCTCTGAATGATCAATTTAGAATAATAGTTGCGGTACATACTGCTGAATTTTATATAAGTTGGTGTTTTAAATGAAAGTCATCTTTGGGAAAGATTTGGAATGAGTAACTTTTCTTCTTCAAACTTTGGATGAATTTTATTTCAAATTCTTAAGTCTCACTTTCACATCATACAGACCTCTAGATTTAGATTTTGAAACTAGAGGGTCCTTGAATAGTCTTTGGTTATGTGCCGTGGAGTTGGTTCCAACTCATAGCGACCCTGTACATGGTTTCTGAGGCTGTAAATCTTTACAGAAGCACAAAGCCTCATCTTTCTCCCATGGAACAGCTGATAGTTTCGAACTGCTGACCTTAAGTTTCGCAGCCTGATTCAAACCACTATGCTACCAGAGCTCCTTTGAATAGACTTTGTTGTTATTGTTAGGTGCCATCGAGTCAGAACCGACTCATAGCGACCCTGTGCACAGCAGAACAAAACAATATCCGATCCTGGGCCAACCTCACTACCGCTGCCACACTTGAGTCCATCAATGATGCCACCTGGCCAATCCATCTCGTTGGGGGTCTTC